GCGCCCCTTGGGTGGTGCTGCATGGGTGGTGCCCCCCCCCCCCCCCTCCCCCTCCTCCTGCCCTGCCCTGCCCACCCCCTCCCTCTCCCCTCAGAGGCTGCTGTGAGGTGTATCCCTCACTTGCTCATTACCGGGGGCCAACAACTGGGGGTATATTCCCCTATATCTGAAGGACTGGCAACAGGCTGTTTGAGCCTTTCGAGTGTAGGTCTGCTGAGTAGGAGTTTAGCCATGGTGCTGTGCTCTCGATACTTGCTGGAAAAATAGCTGCGCGCTTTACTGGCGGAAACTGGATTGGATACAAACAATGGACCTGAGTGAGGAGAGTGACCCCTTGCAGGGTGTTACTGGCCTCACTGAGACTGGCGTATTTGTTATGGGCCGCTGGGGGCCCTGGGACCAGTCATGTCAATCTGGCGCGTGATGTGTCGACCTCCTGGACCTTCTGATACAATCAAAAATGCACCGACTGTGCACTGACTGTTCTGCTGCAAGGACCTGGACATACTTCCTGGCATAGCCTAGGCTGTGGTGACTATCCCGCTGTCAGGACCTCTACATAGAGGATCGTGGACGTGTCGTGGATGCTCAGGCGAAAGTCGTATGAAGAAAGGCGAACATACGACCTCTTACAGACCCCCTGCGGATCCACATGGCTGAGGGGGGCTTTTTCTCGCCTGAACCTACTGCATGTGAGTGGGTCGGATCTGTGACAGTACTGTGACAGTACACCTTCAGGAAATACCACTGAGGGATGGATGACCTCGACTGGGGGCCCTCGAGACGGAGAAGCATATTTGAACTGTGTGCCTATTCCTGTCTTGCCATCCTTTGAAGGATTGAAGGCTGCACATGCATGGACAGCTCTCCTCGATGTCGTTGGCTCATGCCTTGTTTTCTTGCTTTTTGAGGCGCGATTGTTTTTGGTTGCGGCATCAACTTTGTCGTAACTGCTGATGGGCCTGGATGGTTGTGGACTCGAGAACAAAACAGGTTGAAAGGATGGATCGCTGAAACTTTGTTAACGTAGAAAAGTTGGTCCCAATGCGGGCTGGCATGATCTGTAGTGTCTTCAGTTGCTAAACCCTCGTCTGACTTGTCGAGCACGAGTGACAAAAAAATGGTGTAGCTACATGCATACGTATGCTGCACGATCATGCGAGTAGGGTAGATGCAGGCATGACACCGGCATGATGAGCTCCAACAGTGTCGCTTTGAATAAAATTCCTCCAGTTGGTCGGCAGATAGAGTGAAGACCTGCAAGGACCTTCTTTACGGCTCCCGCACCAAGTCTGATCCCTCTTCGGGGCCACCACCGGGACCCCCACCGGGCCCTCCGCCAGGGCCGCCACCAGGGCCCCCCATGTCCATGGCGCCTCCCCTCGCGCCACCCCCGGCATCACCCTTCGAAAGTCGCATGCTGCGAGCTGAGATCAAGGTCTCTCGTGCAGGTTCGGCTCGGAATTGCAGTTGTACTGTACCGACAGCTTCGGAACTGTTGCAGCCGTTGGTCCGCACCGCACCGTCACCTGCGTAGACAAGGGAGAATAAATACGGTGCAAAAAAATCAGCAGCCAAGATTTGATGCAGGAGTGCGGATGCTTGGCGGGCGAACTTATGCGCGAGTACTTGAAACCAAGTTTCAAAGACAAAGGTTTCCTTCGTGCCCGCAGCACTAACAGGCACGGCTGCTCATCTGATTTAGGACATCAGAGGCTATCGATATATATTGCAGCCATGGAGCTACTCTTCGGAGCTGCTGCTGCGGGCGGCGGTGGCCTCTTCTCCTACAACCGGGAGAACTACATGTTCGATAAGGCCTGGACTTGCCGACACCGGGGTTACCTCCGGCTACTTCCCTGCACAGGAGCTGCTTATCAAAAGGGACTACCAAGCCCAGAAGATGCGGGTGGAGCAGTCCAAGCTGTACCGCCACTCTTCCATGCGGGCATTAGGTCGTTTTGCATAGAACCGATCAACATAATGCACGCACAGAGGTAATGTTCCGGGAGGTCGGAGCCTACTGAAAGCAGGCTGAACTCTAAAGTCTAACACAATCATCAAGCCTTGATGCTGTGGTATTGCGATGAGTGGGCCCTTGAAGTGCTTGATTATGCGTACTCGGGGCCAACCCGGGGCTGATGACTCACGTGAGACCAAGGTGAAGATGTGCGAGATCTGGTCAATCTTACCGTCAGGAAGATGGATTCTGCGCGGCACTAGGCCTCCTGTCCTTGGCATCACAGCCGGCTTCTGCATGCTCAGGACAACTACTTGATTGTCAGCACTCTTCAGCTTGGCTTCTGCATGACGCTGTACGTGGAGGGGCGGCCTGAGAAAGCCATGGCCTCGCTTGCAAACCCGAGCTCGCGTTTGATGGGTGTGCCCGGGAATACTCCGACATTCCAGTAAGGACGTGGGGCCAACTTGGCTGATCCACCTCTTCGCCATTTGCAATGCTGGTGCCTTCTTGCCTCTTGGCTTCACCCAGGGTCAACGGGAGCCTGCAGCCAGAGTTAGCTCCGAGCTTTGGACCAAAAGAGGTATTACTTGCTGAGCATCTGGTTGGCCCTTCACGCCTCGGTTGCGGCGCATGCCTTCGGGGTTCGTCCTTGACTCAGTTTGCTTATGTGAGTATACACAGAAGTTGCGGGTGCTGCTACAGAGCTAGCCGAGCACTGCTAGAGGTTTGCTTACCCAGTTCGTGCGTCTTCCAATTCCAGATGATGCTTGGCCCGCATGATCGCATGCTTGCTCGTGCCTGGATGTTCTAATCTCTAGTTGCAGCATATTGTGACATGCGAAGGACGCAACTCTGGACAAGAGCCGCTTCCAAGCGCAGCAGTACGAAGGTAGCACTGCGACCCGGCAGTGAGGTGTCTGCCTGCGTTGCAGGACGAGCAGCTGCTCTTCATCTAAGGCACGCGAGATGTTCCGTGTGCCGCTGCTTCGCCAACAGCTGAAGCGACTCAACCACGCGATGGAGCAGACAGACGAGGACGAATCAGCTCCTCGGTCAAGGAAGCTGGACAGGACCCCAAGAAAAACTGAAGCCGTTACTGAAGCTTGCACGAGCACTTGCCGCCACAGGCCTTGTGAGCTTTTTCGCATTTTTGATGGTGACAGCTTACTTGCGAGCGACCGAGATATCTGGCGGCATTTCCATGAGTGGTTCGGAGGAGGATCTGGACCCAAGCATTAGCCCAGTTGTGTCTTGGCGGGGATGTTTCGAGACCTGGTGTCGGAGAGCTATGCTAGCTGCTAGCTATGCCTCGCCTCCTTCAGTCGAAGTTGACTCAGACCTGCAAAACCAAGATGCTTTTGGAACACGTTCAGCTGTACCGGCGGACGCAAGCGAATTGGCAGTCTTTCGATGCATATGCCCGCGTTTGCATGTCCATGGGCACCAACCAGCCCCTTGGCCCACAAACATGATGGCACACTGCATGCAAGCGCCAGCTGGCACGGTCGGCTGAGAAGCTCCTTGCGGGAAGGGAATCGGATGGCCTTGCAATTCCAAGGTTGCTGTATACCCTCAGCTTCTTGGCCAGGCTTGTTTGGCCTCGGCAGTTGTTTGACGGTTTCGGGTTGCACTCAGACCCTGCAGTGCCCATTTTGTCAGTGAAACTCGCTTGACTTGGATGGCGAAAAAGTGGCTCCCAATGGCCGCTAAACGCTTTGCGCCGTCTCACGGTCGAAATGGCTTTCGCCAGGTCCCCGGGGACTTTTTGCGTGCGCTTTATGCCGAGGCTATATGATGCTGGGCACTCTCGTGGCTGTGAACGACGTCCCGTTGCCAGCGCTGTCGTGCGTGGTGATCTTCACCGGTTGCGCATGGATCTTGGCCAGGCAAGCTTGGACGACCACGGCATGCAGAAGCTGGTTCTCATGGTAACATGTAAGAAAGCAAGCACTGGGAAGTCTTGAGCTGTCCCATTGTCAACAGGCTGGACTTGTACCTTTCGCGAAAGATCTTGGCGGTCGCCGCAGTTCTTCTGATTCTGCCCCCGACCCTGGTCACAGTGCGGCTGGGCATCGAAGAGATTCGCATGCAAAGGCATGCACATCGCCATTCGGTATCTGTTTCAAAAAGAGTCCGAAGCACAGGAGCTTCAGCTTGCATCGCATCTGGGCAAACGAGCCGACTTCCTTCATGCGATTCGGCTTGAATTTTAATCCCTCAGCGCTCAGAACCCTGAGCACTTGGACAGAGAGTGCATTCGCGGCCAAGGATTGGCTGCTACCGAGTGATGGTCCCACTGGCGTTCTTCCTCCATCTTACTTGGATCCTTTTCACTTGGCTGCTAGGTCGCAGTTGTGATTGAGTCGGGCATGACGGTGGTACGCAGTGCACGCCTTTGAGCTCAGGGGTGTGGCCCGGGGCGTGAAATTCGGCAGCGTGGAGCTTCCGACGAACTACCGCTTCTTGGCCTTGAGCGTGCCAATGGAAGTGAGATCTCCAGCGGATTTACGGTAGTTACCCGGTAGCTACCTAGATGATCGCTGGGCACGATTACAGCACGAAGCATCAGCCCGTGGCAATGTGAGTGCCACGACCGTTGAGGTCTCTCAAGTTAGACTCGAGCCCCTGAAAGGGAACCCGGAAAGGTAGCGTGCTCTTCCTGGACGTCTTCGGATTTCTTGCTGCTCAGGCAGACCAGGCCCCGATTGAATAGCTCGGGCATATGTGAAGATACACCAGTAGTGCTCTGTAGTACCTCTGTGCATGACTGCTCAAGACCCTGTCCAACTGAGCGGATCAGACTGTCGACATTGTAGCAAAGACCGGCATGTCAGTGTGTTGGCAGGACGCACGTGGCGACGAGCCGCCTGAGGAAAGTGAGATGCAAAGACAGCTCTCCGTCGTGCGCTGGATTCTCAGATGATTTGTCTCAAGCCGCAGTCGAGTGATCGTTGTCGCAGCAGCAGCAGCAGCGGCAGCAGTTGGACTCGCGGTCATCATCGTCGTGATCGTAGTCGTAAACTAGGTGTTGGCCGTAGTCACAGCCGCCGCCGTAGAGATTCTTATCCAAACTGCCATGGCAACACAGAAGACGTGATTAGCATCATTTCCGCGATGATACCTAGTTTCCCGCCCATTTTCGTCCCGACACTGCCGGCCGAAGACCCGTGCCATGTGCATGCTGCATGCCAACTGATTTTGGCAAGGGGTGCTAGTGCTTGCAGCTTGCTTCGTGTTCATGGCCGGTTTGCTTGTGGTAAGCCTTGAGAACAGATGTGCTTGGTTCGTGACAGAACTTGCATCAGGTGAGGAGTCTCCGACAGTAGATGGGACGGGTGCAGAGGCATTGCTCCTGATCTGCAACTGGACTTCCATCAACTTTGCAGGCCCCGCATTGCTGTTCCATCTCGACCGAGGCCAGCGGAAGTGCTGCAGATGCTCGTGCCAGAGTGTCACCAACTCCAGACCCAGCTCAGTGCAGACGCTGGGAAGCGAAGGGTAGGCGAGATTCATATCGCCTGCGCCCCGGTGCTCAGAAGCAGAGCGAATTCTGTCAGACAAGGACCTTCGACGCTTCGAGCTGCCTCAAGTCGTTGGACTGTTGCGCCAAGAGCCTGGCGCGGCGAGCATGCTGAGGCCATATCAGCGGGAGATTAGCGAAGAGAGAGCATGCCAGTATTTGGTGATAGTATTGCGGTGTGGACCGTGACTGACCTGCGCGGTTCGGACAAACCAGCCGTTGTAATGTCCTTCATGAGAGCTCGCTCCAGGCAACTGCGACAGGAGTTCGACTCCTTCGCGTCTGATTTCGCTAGCCTGGAGGTGGGAATAGACAGACTGCGGCACAGTCAGGCTGAAGCAAAGCCTTGTCTCCCGTTGAAAGAGTGCTTGCTGCCTCACGTCCAGGTCAGTCAAGACTCTGCAAGCTCCCGCTCGCAGGAACGAGTGAAATGCGACTTCGTGCTGACTTGTCGCACATGTTCCGTCATGCCCCAGGAGTCGCAGCAGGTGTGGCTCCGCCTCGATTGGTTTAGCCGCTTGTGCCGCCAATCCCAGAAAGCCCTGCCGCAAGATGCAAGCTTCTAGTCTGCACAGACCAAGCTGTCAAGGTAATGGCCGTCCCATGCAAGTCTTCCACAATGCCGAAGAGGGCAAAACTGTGTGGGAAGAGCCCTCTGCGTCTGCTCGGATCATTGACATGTACAGCTTACGAACAGACCTCGAGAGGCCGCGGCTGTGCGTGTTTCCATTTCCAAGCCAGCTGTTGAAGGTTAGTTCGTATAGTAGTGCATTATTCAAGCAGTGCCTTGTTGCAGGTTTGGTGACCATGTGGGCCTATTGAGACGAAATTGCGGCTTGGCTAACTGTGGCTCTTTGCAAGTGCAAGGACTTTTTCGGGAGACTCCCAGTGTTACTGTTATTTCTATTGCCTCTCAGCAGTATTATTGCTGTTGCTATTGCTATTCCGTTTGTATAACTATAACAAGTAGTAGTAGTAGTAGTAGTAGTAGTAGTAGTAGTAGTAGTAGTAGTAGTAACTAGTAACTAGTAACTAGTAGTAGTAGTAGTAGTAGTAGTAGTAGTAGTA